AAACGGGGGGGGGGGGGGGGGGTGATAGTACTCTGGCAATTCTTCCCGCCCAAAGCTAGAGATTTTCTCAAAACCTAAATATAGAGTTTAAAATGTGGAAGTTGGAGTGTGGACATGGAAAGGTCCTTTGATTGCAGCCTGGCATTCAGTGTTCACATACTTCCAGGCACATCTACTCAAAGCCCTCCATATGGCACCTCTGGAAATGCCCGTTTGCTGGTTCCACAGAAACTGTGAGTGGGAGGGGTGGGAGGTTGGGAGATGGTGTTCCACTCACATTTTTCACACAGTCTTCCGATGGCTGCAAGATCAAAGACAGTAAAGAATACAATTAGAATTGAGGTTTTGACGAAGAGGGAAAGTTCATCTTTGAGATGAGGGTAGGAACAGGAACAAGGACTGCAGTGAGTCCTTCGGGATGGCCATCGCATCATAAATTTCGATCTGAACCCCACATTCCCGGAACACCCTCCTGAACCCCTCCCAGATCCTGGGCGATCTGAGAGAGTTTCTCCGGACCTGGCCCAGGCCCCATCCCCACTGCCTGCCTCCGACTCCGCGAACGCGCGCCCCCGCCCTCTTTTCATCAGAGGCCGCAAACCCGCGCCCTCCTACGATACCCCGCGACCATCTGGCGGGAAACGTGGCGTCTCCGAGGCAAGACCCTACGGAAGAGATGGGAGCCTCGGGAGCCTCCGGTACCCCAGCTCCTAATAGCACCCCAACCCAGAGAGCCAGGGGCAAGGCGTCGTCTCACCAACACCAGCTTGCTTGCGGCAAAATATCAAATCCGGATGATGTTTAGCCATAGCTCCCACTCAAGCCAACAACCGGAAGCTTTGAGAACTTCCGTCCGACCTTTAACCCCTATTGTTCCTGCCTCTAGATCGCCGTGATTGGTCCTCCAGGCTTCCATCATACTCTTTGCACCGAGCCCCGTTCGCTCTCGCGCGAGTGGAAACGGAATCGCTGCTGGGGAGCCAGGTCCTGGCAGGTGTATAAAAGTCGTTTAAAAAAACACAAAAACCAACCTTTCCCAGATTTGGATGGCAGAGATAACAGACATTTGCTCTTAGATAAAACATTTTTGTACCCGGTATTTACTTCTGCAAGTGTGTTTTGCAGCTGTTGTTCTTTTCACATGTCCATTCTTTACACGTGACCCCGCCCACTGCTTTCGGGGACTCTGGAGCTCCCAGGAAGGCCCCGCCCTCCCTGTGAGGTGTCACTCTTCATTACCCGCCCCTGCCCCAAAGGCTTTAAAGCCACCGTGTTGTACGTCACTTTCAAGCGACTTCATCTTTGTCAGTGCACAAAATGGCGCCTTACAGCCTACTGGTGACCCGGCTGCAGGTGAGCGAGCTCAGGGCCCTCAGGGTTCACGGGGGCGGGGTGCTTCCTACTCTGCTTGAGGCTGTGGGCGAGGCGAGGCCAGGCCCGCCCAACCTCGGGCCGGCTTTTCGTGTAGCCGCCCCGGTTGCGGGCCCAGCGCCCGTGTGCGCTCCTCCGATGCCCTAGGTCAAGGAGTCCCCGGCACAGTCAGCTCCCCCGGCCCTGTCCCCGCTCCTCAAGAAGCGTGGGTCCAAGCAGCAGCGGCCTGGTGAATAGTGCAGGCACCTCTTCCTCTTTTCTGAGGACCGCAGTACCCACTCCCTTAGGCCTTCTTTCCTTTTCTCAAGGTGAAGACAAGGTTACTGGGGGGCGCGGTCGTTGTTGAGCCCTCTAGGCCCAGTGCCTGAAGGCTTCACTTCCCATCTCTCAGCAACGGAGACTTGCTAGCCAGGTGCATCTACATTGCCAGGCCTGGAAGTCTGGAGAAGAAGCTAGTGTCTGTCCTATACCACCTTTTGATGAGCCTGCGGAACATAGAGCCAAGAGTGATTCTGACCCCGGTGTAGTAAATAGTAATGATAGTAGTAGCTTCTCACCTTTACACAAGACTTCAAAATTGTTTTAATTCCTCATAATATCATTTGATTCATATAACCATCTGGTGAGATAGCAGGGGGATGATTTTTCTCATTTGATTGGCGATAAAACTACTGCAAAGTAGGCGAAAGTTCCAGCTCTCAGAGTGTCACCGAAGTGCTGTGGGCTGAACATCGGCCCTACCACTCCTCTGTTCTTGATAATTTCAGCCTACCCTCAGAACTTTCTGAGCCAGGATGTGATCATGTGATCATTTGTACTTGTGAGAGTACAGAGTGAAGTATTTTGAGTTCACGATTAGTTGCTTTTCAAATACTAGACGTGTGGGTGAGGAGACTCACTCAACAGTTTGACCTTGACTCTTTTGTTATGAGCCATCTAGAAGGTTGACTGTGACTATCAGATGGTTTTTTCACTTCTAACTTGACAACCCTGGGAAGGTGTTATACTCAGAGGTTCAATGTCAAAAGTGTATTTTGTTAATAAAAATAAATCAAGTGTCTAGACATTTTCTGTCAACCTTTGATGAATTAGTAAATCTTTGGATCAAGTGGCACAACTTTGATTATAGAATTAAAAAAGAAGTTGGTATGTGCTGTACCCAGGAAGCATTATGTTACTTGAAGTTATTTTTCATCATATTGCTTAAATTTAAACCATATAGTTTAAAGTAAAATCACCATTTATCTGAAAATACTTCTGATTTCAATTATGAACTAAGGCAAGGGATTTGCACCTAATTATCTCTTTAGGTCTTTTGATTCTCTGTGTTAATGATGTGGAAATAGTTTCTTCCTGATCCTGCTGTCCCGTGATTTAATGGAGTCAGGCAAGATTGATGAGATAAATGATTATAGATTTATTGAGCGTGGAAGAGAGGAATAAAGTTACAACTTTTTTTTCTTTTTTGTGACCAGTAAGGGGATCACAACCCTTGGCTTGGTGCCGCCCGCTCAGCCAGTGAACGCACCGGCCATCCCTATATAGGATCCGAACCTGTGGCCTTGGCGCTCCCAGCGCCGCACTCTCCCGAGTGAGCCATGGGTTCGGCCCAGTTACAACATTTTTTAATTGAAAAGGATCTTTGAAAGTATGAGTGTCAGACTGGTGTAGAAAGAGATCTGGGCTATATAGTTCATGTTCCACCCTGATCCTGTGACCTTGAGCAAGTTACTTCCTGAATCCCAGTCATCTATCAATTGGGGGTGATTTTCATTGAACAAACATTTATTTAGTACTGTTTTTTTTTTTTTTTTTTTTTTTTTTTTTTTTTTTTTTTTTTTTTTTTGGCAGCTGGCCAGTACGGGGATCCCAACCCTTGATCTTGGTGTTATAAGACTGTGCATTATTGGGTACTTGTATTGTTGTAAAGTGATGAGCGTAGTAGAATGTGTTTATGACCATCTTGTAGTCCAACCTCCTCTTTTACAGATGGTGAATCCTAGACCTTGAGAGCCTGGGTGACTTTCAGTAGCAGAATCAGAATTAAAATCCAGGGCTCCTTATTTGTTCGTTCAGCTAAGGTGAATGAACTGGATTATGCACTTTACATTGGATCTCACTTCCTCCCAATAGCCAGGTTGTCTCCAGTAACCAGGCTATTGGTTGTCACCAGCTAACACTGTACTCTGAGAACCTTCTAAATTTACTTCTTTTGTGCTTAGATACATTTGAGAAGCTATGGTTACCACCTTAATATTCATGTCCGTAGAACCTTATCTGTGCAGTCAATTCGTTCTTCATTCACCACATATTTATAGAGCATCATTGTTTGCTCCAGATTGATATGCAAAGAAGACAGTCACTGTTCTCATGGAGTTTCCACTATATTCTCATGTATCCTACTGCAGTGGGCCTTGGAGATCTTTCTCAGCTGAAATATTTTCCTTCTGCTTTTTGCTGGACCAAGGGTGAAGGTAGATAACAGAATGATGGCTATTAGTACCATCACTAAGAGTAGTTAATATTTACCTTGCCCTGTGCCAGTAATCTCACATGACTCTCTGAGATAAGGAAGACCTATTAGTCCTTAGTCCTGTTGGGTTTTTTTTTAATGGCAGCTGGCTGGTGCAGGATCAAACCCTGCACCTTGGTGTTATCAACACCATGCTCTAACCAACTGAGCTAACCAGCTAACCCCCAGTCTTGTTTTATAGATGAAGAAAGGGGGCTAGAGAGGAAACATAGTAACATAGTGTAAAGGTTAAAAGCATGGACTCTGGCATCAGACTGCCTGGGTTTGATTGTTGCCTCTAATACTCAGTAGCTGTGACTTTGGGCAAGTTATTCAACCTCTCTGGGCATGTTTCCTCACCTGTAAAATACAATAATAGGGCTGGCTGGTTAGCTCAGTTGGTTAGAGTTCACGGTGTTATGACACCAAGGTCAAGTGTTCAGATTCCCCAAATGGCCAGCTGCCAAAAAACAAAACAAAACAGAAAAACAATAATAGTACATCTGTTTTTGTTTTTGTTTTTTTAAAAAATTTATATTTAGTACATCTGTTTTAATCATAAAATAGTTGCAAAGTATTTAGAACACTGCCTGGCACCAATAAGTGCTGTATAATTTTTAAATAAGACAAATTTTCCTTGGGCCTTATCACTTCTTGTTAGCAGATATAATTTGAATCTGCACATTTCTGATCTCAAAGGCTGAGGGCTTAGCAACTGTCACTATCCTGCTTCCCTGTGGCATCAAGAGTCAACCTGTGGACTAGGGCACCACTGATCCTCCATAACCTGAGAACAGTGCTAAGTTGTACGTGTACTATTGTTTGACAGTACCTGCTGCCAGGTAGTAAGATTAGAAACATCAAAGAAGGGAGCATTTATTCTAGTTTATGGAATAACATGTTGCTTGATTTTAGAATCACAATAAGGCCAACTGAGATCTTTAACTTAAAAAAGGGAAAAAAAAATAAAAGAAAAAGAAACAGTGAAGAAAATGGGAGGTGAGATTTTTGAAAAGCCATGTTTATTCTCTGTTTTTGTTTTGTTTTGTTTTAAAAAGATGACCGGTAAGGGGATCTTAACCCTTGACTTGGTATTACCTGCAGCACGCTCTCCCAAGTGAGCCATGGGCTGACCCTGTTCTCTGGTTTTTAGTATTTATTTTTGTATATATGACTATGGATGGCACATAAGAGGGACTGGGCACTCGCAACTACATTTCTCGGTTTTGATTTTGCCTTGAAGTATTAGGGTGTTAAGTGACCTTGGGGAAGTCTTGTAACCTCCTGTATGTACATTTGGAATGGCAATTAGCTACAGAGAAGTCTGACATATTTGGCAGAAGTTTTCTGTAAAGTGCCATGTTAAAATTGCCTCATTGGGCCGGCCCGTGGCTCACTCGGTAGAGTGCGGTGCTGATAACACCAAGGCCCCGGGTTCGGATCCCATATAGGGATGGCCGGTTCGCTCACTGGCTGAGCGTGGTGATGACAACACCAAGTCAAGGGTTAAGATCCCCTTACCGGTCATCTTTTTAAAACAAAACAAAACAAAAACAGAGAATAAACATGGCTTTTCAAAAATCTCACCTCCCATTTTCTTCACTGTTTCTTTTTCTTTTATTTTTTTTTCCCTTTTTTAAGTTAAAGATCTCAGTTGGCCTTATTGTGATTCTAAAATCAAGCAACATGTTATTCCATAAACTAGAATAAATGCTCCCTTCTTTGATGTTTCTAATCTTACTACCTGGCAGCAGGTACTGTCAAACAATAGTACACGTACAACTTAGCACTGTTCTCAGGTTATGGAGGATCAGTGGTGCCCTAGTCCACAGGTTGACTCTTGATGCCACAGGGAAGCAGGATAGTGACAGTTGCTAAGCCCTCAGCCTTTGAGATCAGAAATGTGCAGATTCAAATTATATCTGCTAACAAGAAGTGATAAGGCCCAAGGAAAATTTGTCTTATTTAAAAATTATACAGCACTTATTGGTGCCAGGCAGTGTTCTAAATACTTTGCAACTATTTTATGATTAAAACAGATGTACTAAATATAAATTTTTTAAAAAAACAAAAACAAAAACAGATGTACTATTATTGTTTTTCTGTTTTGTTTTGTTTTTTGGCAGCTGGCCATTTGGGGAATCTGAACACTTGACCTTGGTGTCATAACACCGTGAACTCTAACCAACTGAGCTAACCAGCCAGCCCTATTATTGTATTTTACAGGTGAGGAAACATGCCCAGAGAGGTTGAATAACTTGCCCAAAGTCACAGCTACTGAGTATTAGAGGCAACAATCAAACCCAGGCAGTCTGATGCCAGAGTCCATGCTTTTAACCTTTACACTATGTTACTATGTTTCCTCTCTAGCCCCCTTTCTTCATCTATAAAACAAGACTGGGGGTTAGCTGGTTAGCTCAGTTGGTTAGAGCATGGTGTTGATAACACCAAGGTGCAGGGTTTGATCCTG